AGTGGGTAGTATCACCCAGAAGTGTGCAAGCAATAATTCATAGATTATCAGCTCTATGTAGCAGCTAGTGAGAGAATAGGAGCAACAAGCTAAAGCATTATCTGTCGGGTGGGAAACTTCAAGAAGAAAAAGCTGTGAGGTATTGCTCTAGAGAGGTTCCCCCACGTGGTAAACAAACATTACAGAAAATCTAACCTTCTACTCCCTTACCTAGCAAAAAGGTAATCACTAAGCACCCCTCCTGGCTTACTCAAACTTACATGAATGCAGTGAATAAACTGAAAAACACTCGGACTTTTTTTTTTTTTTTAAAGAATGGTACGTAAATATGAGATTTCATAATTCACTTCTATATGACAAAGGGCAACCAATACTGGTAACTGTACAAACTTTATAAGCAATTTTGTTTAAAAGTTGACTCTGTGCTTAAGATGAGGTTAACTTTCTCTAAATACAACATCCCAGAACTTGATGCAATGCTGATCGGGGAAGTTGGAGGTAGAATAATTTCTTTAATATCTATCTTTGTTTTCAAATGATTAGCTTTTGTGTAGCTTAAGCAGATTAGCCCAGCCGGACACTTACATCACCCTCATAGGCATATTAGGTACTGCTTATGATTGAGATACCAAGGTCTGATCTCAACAGCACTGTCTGGGAAGGGTGTCAGAGCTGTCTCTCAGGCTCTGAGAGAAGGTGGCCAACATGACAATAGACAAAAAGAGACAGAGATCAGGACAGAGACAGAGACAACATCAGACAAAATACTTTATTAAATCGCCAAGTTCTCAAGCCACTTAGTTTCGCTCCCTCAGCAACTGTCGAACCAGGCTTTAACCTCAAGGTAAAAAAGCCGACCTATTCATTTTGCAATCCCTTCAAGTCATCTAGTCTTAAGGGAGAGGTTCTGGGGTTGATCTAATTTGTTACTCTCCAGATTTATTTTTGAATAAATTCCTTAGGAGCATGCCACAGGTGTAATGAGAAAAATATCCTGAGAAGTGGAAAGAAGTGTCTATATTTCAATGTCAAAAACATGAAAGGAGTGTAATAAAAGAAAATCGGGGACAGGCAGCGCTTGAGGAAGCTGCAGACAAAGAGAAAATGGTGAAGGTGGGGGTGGGGGTGAGATTTCCTTTTCCTTCTCTGACCAGGCTCACAAAACTTGATTTTTTTGTTTGCTTTTTTATTTTTCAGAGTCGTGATTTCAGGTTTGGCTATAAAATAAGCCCTTGCTTTGCCACGCGCAGTCCGAATTCTGCTCCTTGCTTATGCAAAGTTTCGATTGAAACTGGTGATCTTGATATCACCATTAAAAATAATCATAATGGAATTGTCCACATTCCTAACTCCAATTCACATAATCCCACCAAGTTGTGGCACTTGTATAAGTGCATGTACAGGTTAGGAGACCAAATAATTTTGTGTTTTAAATGCATATACGTACACCAGATGAACAATTACTATGGGAAGGAAAAACACTTAAAAGAAAATTAAACGTACCAGCAAATCCAATATATTATTCCAAAGTTTACAGCTCAAAGAATGGAAGCCTGATGAGGTAAAATTAGCACTGGCAAGAAAGCACCCCAAAGCAACCCCGCAATTTGAAGCCTGCAAACGTCTTCGAAAATATCAGTCACTAGTGTTAATCTTTGGCTGACTTGAGCTGTAGACAAGCAAGAGGGCTATATCCTGCGTATACTTCCAAATGGGGTGCCACCCAGTGTGGCTATTTGGTCCTCAGGTGTTGATTGTTGGGATCCAGACAGAACTTACCATCTATTTGCTGACCACAAAGAAAAGATGCTTCTTGCCAAAATACTGGTTCTTGAAGCCTATGGACAGAAATAATCTGTCTTGGTTTCAAAGCAAAATTCTGCTTTACAAGACAAACTGTTCCTTGTAAGATAGTCATAGAAATGCTTGATAACTGAGAGGAGAGAGGAGAAGGAAAGAGGAATTCCAAAATGCCTTATTTTGAAAAATCTAACAGAGAAAGGGAGCAAGACTTGTCAATATCAAAGCGTTACTAAAATACTACCTACTGGGAAGACCAGAACAAATGACTAAGAGAAAAATTAAAACGTTCCTTTTGCATTGGGATAATTTCTCTAAACCCCAAAATCTAATTCCTGCATGAACTCTCTTAGAATCCAATTCCAAGAATAAATTTTTGTCATATTGTGCTGCTTGCTGGAATATAAGGAGCCCTACTTCTGCCAAGTGAGCCAGTGGTCAATTAACAAAGTTGCAGTCCTGTTTGATCTCAGAGAGAAGACAGACAGCTCCATAAAATATCATCAAGGTTGCACACAAGTCCCATCACTTTTTATTGTTCCTTCTGTTCACACCACATGCTAAATTAAGTTAAAGAGACTACCTTTGCATCTCTCCTCCTCTTGGCAGAAATATTGTGAATGTATAAGAACACAGAGTTAAGTGTAGATGTTACTAAGGTTTTAAAAAAATCCCTCCACAAAATTAACTAATGTGCATAAGCACACACATGATTAGAAAAGGGAGGAACCCAACATGTCATTGTAGCCCTGTACGTATTTGAGATTTTTCGCTCAAAATTGGCAAATAATGCATGCAATACAGAGAGGGAAGACACTCTTGCTTTGGCTTAAAAAATCTCTTGCCTGTCACCAAATTTTGCCCCTACAAAGTGAGGGGAAAAAAAAAGAGAAAGTATGAAAATATCAACTTTCAGATTGGAATTGACTGCATTCTGATGAAATTGATTAATTTTCAATAAACTGACTCAAGGATTGTCTATATCCTAGAAATGGAAAGTCTTCATCAACTCACAAGACAGGAACACCAGTTTTCCCTTTAACTAGACTCCTCATAATCAGTGCAGCTATCACAAATCAGAAAAAAATAAATAATCTTGTACTTTCTGCAGGAACTACTAAATTCTCATTAGCTGATGTCATTATTTAAGCAGGTCACCAAGATATGCTATTCTTCCTTATAAAGAAGATTTTTCCATTAAGACCTGAAATAAAATCACCAAGCTCACTGTCTACCATATGGGAATAACTTTTGCTCTCTATAGTTATTTCCTAAAAATTTTGGTTTTGTCTTTGAAGGCACACATTTTTTAACAAGTATGTGGAACCATCAGTTTTTTCCCTGTTAAGTCAGTACGTTGTGGGGAGTCATGCAGACGATGGAAGGTTCCAGCGACTGAGTTTAGGACCATGGCAGGTCGAAATGCACCTTAGACATTTTCCCCCAAGAAAAGTTTACAGTAGAAGAGGAGCTCCATCCTCTAGTGACAGCCCCAGAAAATAATTAACCCTACCAAGTAAATTTATTCTTATAAATCAAGAATACTTTTTGTCCCATAGCATAAACCCATTACGAAAATAAACAGTCTAAATTAACTGGAAAAGACTTTGACAATATCAAAGGAACCCTTTGAAAATCTTGTAAGCCGAACATTAAAAACATAATGGAATGTGAAGCCTGGTAAAATGTGGTTTCTTCAATAGCCCAGGAAATAATATTTTATGAAATCCTACCCTCCTCCTTCTTTCTTTACTAACATTGTGCTATCTACCTTGTAAGAAGGAAAGCACCAGTGAAAGAAGGCAAGTTGTTGGATTTAAGTCGCCAGAGATGTTAAGGCTAACAAGGAAATTTTGGAGAAGTCACAGATAAAATAAAACAGCCATAGAAACAAAGAATAAGACACAAGTCCACAGGGACATCAACACCTGGCCGACCTGCGGAATTAATTCCCCAAGCAGTATGTCCTCCCTCACCAGATACACAAACATCTTAATTTTCTGGGGGAGAATATCTTCAGCATGGTCTCCAAGAAGCTCAACAACTGCGGTGAGGAAGAATTTTTAATAAGCACGATGCAATTGTTTGCCACTTTTTTCATATGCTAATTAAAACTTTGGGGTAAAATTATGGCTCATGGGTCACTACCAGTTCTTAATTTGTTAGCGCTAACAGCACGTATTCTAACATGCAAACATGTCTTTAAAATGAATGAATATAATAAAAAACCTCACTCCTCCCTCCCCAGTGGAGATTTTGGAGCACACTGGAGTAGCAGGAAATGCTTTACAAAAAATGTTTTCCAACACTTTTCTAAATCAGACTCAACCTGATTAAATTGTACATTAAAAGAATATTCTCCTCTTTATAGATCCCATGCAAACCTGAAGTAGAGGGCTGTGGATCTATTGTAATCCACAGAGAAAACAAACACTTTGTAAGAGAAAACCGACCCAAGCAATTCCTTTCAACATAGTCAATCAACGTTGAGAAACTTTGAGTGCAAATCCTGCGGAGTCTTTACCAAGAAAGTTGCTCCTCTGCCTACTCTAAACGTGACGGATTGGATTATCTCTACTGACCTCCAGCTCTGTAGAAAACCCCAGTTGCTTCCGGGGAAAGAAGTTCACCCCTTCACACATCAGCCCTCAGCACTTAGAAACCACTTTCTTTCCTTAACCGCGAATTTTACCTCTTTGGATGAGGCGCGCTGAGAAGCGCTTGGGCCAGGCTTTTCGACTCTAATCTGCGCAGGCTGAAAGGGAAATTCTAGCAGGCCCGACGAGGAGAAATTGCCCAAATTTCTGAGGTTCTCTGACTTTTGAAGACAGAAGGAAAGGAAGAGTGGAGGGCTCGGGAGCTTTACCTCTGAAGGTGGCCTGTGCAATAGGATTTAAGTTTGGGACCTTGAGTACCAGGAAGTAGCGAGAATTTGGGGCTGTTGGGGGAGCTGAAGAATCTTGGAGGGCAGGAATCAGCACCCAGGGCACGCAGCAGGAATTAGAGGAGCTCAGGTTAAGCCTCTGGCAGGCCAGGAGTCCCGGGAGAGCTCTAGATTTAGAGCAGCCCTCCTATGAAACCCTGCTAAGCTCTCCTAGGGGTAATCTGAGTGTTCACGCAGGTAGGAGCCGCTAGATACCCCAGAACGCAGACTCTGCGCCCTGGGCCGAAAGGCGACATTTCTGGAAGGAGAAACTTACCGCATGTCCCCGTAAGGTCCGGAGTAGCTATCCATCCAGGGGCCCATCTCGCTTTTGACACAACTGGGATTGGGATAGGGCACTCTGCTCACCACGCCGCCAGGGTACCACACATCGGGTGCAGGGAAGTCGCCTTCCTGGCTCGCCAGCCCCTGAGGCGGCCGAGTGTAGCCATAGGGAGCTACAGCTCCTGCCTCGCCTGCTCCGCCGCCGCCGCCGCCGCCGCCGCCGCCCCCACCACACGGCCCATACAACTGGCCTTCTTCGGCTGTGAAGAGAGTGTGCCAGGATGAGGAAGCGGCGGCTGAGGGTGACCCAGAGCCGGATCCCGCTGCACCCGCGCCATGCAGGCTCGCCAGGTCTCCATAGCGGCACTGCGCCGCTGCAGCCGCCCAAGCGCTGCCGTAGTCCAGCGGGTTCTCCAGCTTGATTCGAGCGTGGGGATGGGGAGGCGGCGGAGGGGGCGGCGGCCCGGCCAGAGCCAGTGGAAAGTTGTAGTAGTCGCGACTTTGGTAGGCGGCTGCCTCCTCCAGTGCTCCGGACTTGTAGAGAGACAGAGTGGATGGCAGTTCAAGTGTCCCGGAGCTCCCTGCTGCACCGCTGCCAGAGCAGACCAGGCTCTCGCCTTCTAGTCCTTTGGTGTAACCTCCCTTGAAAGGGGAATACTCAGCAGTATCTTCAGTGCTCTTGCCTGCGCTGTCGTCCAGCAGAGAACCTTTGCATTCGGCCAATGGGGCACAAGGAGTGGGACGCACAGCGGGTGGAACTCCCAGAACTGAGGCGTACATGCAATCCCCCCGAAGCTGATCCCCAGGACTCAGATGCTCCAATGCCTCCACACCCAAGCCCATGGACACTGACACTGCCTTACACAACTCCTTGGCGCTGTCAGAGATGGTCGAAGTGCCCCCTAAGTAACTGTCCTTGGAGGAAGTGGGAGCCCCCGAGGCCTCCCTCGCTCTCCCGCCGCTGCTACCTTCGGATACTGCTTCCTGCTGCTGTTGCTGAAGGAGTTGCATGGTGCTGGCCTCGCTCAGGATGTCTTTAAGGTCGGCGGAGCAGCTGCTTAAGCTGGGGAAAGTGGGGCCCAGCAGGGACAACGTGGATGGGGCAGCTGAGTCATCCTCGTCCGGAGGTGCTGGCAGCTGCTGCGGCAGACCCTTGCCGGCGGCAACGGCGACTTCAGGCTCTGGGACACAACCTCTCTCGGGGTGGCACTCCGGGGCTGACTGCGGCTGTGAAGGCTGCCGTTCCTCATCCAGGGCCAGGTAGCCTGTGGGGCCTCTACCATGGGCTTGGGGAGAACTATCCTCACCCTGCTGCTGCTGCCGGGGGCTAGTCTGTTGCTGCTGCTGCAAACTGGCGCCTGGAGGTGCTGCGCTCGCGGCCTCTGGGTGCCTGGTGCCCGGGTTCTGGATCACTTCACGCACGCTCTGGAACAGATTCTGGAAAGCTCCTCGGTAGGTCTTGGACGGCGGCCGAGGATAGACCCTCCCCAGCCCTAACTGCACCTCCATCCTTGAGCTTGGCTGAATGTTCCACCTACTTCCCTTAACTCGCCTCCCCTTCTCTTGCTCAGAAGAGTTCAACAGGCTGTGATGATGCAGTAGTCGCTGCAGCTAGCTGCCCACCTGCGGGAAGCTCCAGAGAAGGAAACTTGCGGGAGCAACCACGCAAAAAGCGCTCTGACAGCCTCAAAGTCTCGTGCAGAAGAAGACACACGGTGAACAAGATCTGCTCTGCTAGGCTCACAGTCAGTCTCTGAATACTTGAAGGGTAGATGATGCCCCAAAGAAAAAACAAACTCCTCCACTTCCAAATTCAGTGTCTACTGAAATAGATGCAATAAGAGCCGAGTTATCTTTTTCTTTTGTTTCGGCTTTTTGGTTTTTGTTTGTTTTGTTTTCTTTGTTTTTGTTTTTGGTTTTTAGGCTACTGAAGCCCTCACTGTCTTTTCATCTTTTGCTCTCTGGCTCTGCACTGGGGGTAGGGAAGGCAGAAGGACGTGGGGAGGGAGTAGGGGAAAACAGAGGATTCTCTCCGCGTGCAGCCTACCCGGGCAGGTCGTGGCTGCAGTGCCCAAGCCGCTCCCCAGTCGCCTGGCTCCCAAGAGCCTTCTTTGCAATGTGCAGCTAGCTCTCCCGCTCGCAGCCAAAGGGAGTTACCTCTGCAAACTCGGGCCGGCAGCGCTGGGCCGACGGGGGGCGGGGGAGAGGGGTGGTGAGGGGGGTTGGCGGAGAGTAGCCGACTGAGGCAGCTGCGGGAGAGAAGCGGGGTAGGTGCGGGTAGGGGGGAGGCGGGGTGGAGAGGAGGAGGACAAAGACGGCGGTCAGTCCTACCAGGCACTTTCCTCGCTTCCTCCGAGTCTTTAGCAGCTTTTAAAAACTTCACCGAAGAGGAAAGGGCAGCTCAGGGGCGGCGGCTTCGAAGCCGCCGCGCTTAAAGAGGCGTTGGCTGTCGCCAGAGCCGAGCTGGGGCTGGCGTGGTCGTCCCTTCGGCTCCTGTACAGCACTGGAGCTGCTAGCTCGGCCGTTTTTCTCTCTGTCGCCTCCTCCGCCTCTGAGCTTGCTCCGGACAGTCCCGCTCTCCCAGCTAGCTGGCTCCCGGGGATCTCGGAGGGGGCGCTGGGAGGTGGAGAGCAAATGCAACAGTTAGCGAGTCGGGTCCCGCCCCCGCCGGGCCGGCCTCCTTGCCTTCCCACCTCCTTTTCCCTTCCCTCCCCTTTCCTTTTCTCCCCTCCCCTCACCGCGCGCTAACGCCTGCCCAGTGGCTTTGGAGAAACAAGTGCTGGTGCAGCGTGGGCGAGGGCAGGAGAGGCTAGCTCTAGCCCTGAAGGACCCCTGCTTCCTGAATATCTCCTGCTTTCCTAAACCAAGGTTTAGGCGCCAGGGCTCCAGATTTCCTGGAGGCCAGCACTCACCAAATTTGGTTCCGAAGCCCAATCAAGAAAACCGACGGGGTGGAGGGGAGGGAGGGAGGAAAAGGACTATGGGAATACCTGCTCCTAATGGCTGTCAGTGGTTCTTTTCAGGACTGATAAGAATGCGCAGATCGGAGAGTCTCCTACAAACTGAAGAGCAAGCCACGAGCAAGCCAGCAGATACTGGCTGAAACCTTAGATTCCATCATAGGGATAGATTGGGCCTCATGGCATTGTGCCATTTGCTCTAGGAACCCTCAGCCCCAAGAATCAGAGGTCATTTCTACACTCTTCTCTGCCTTTCTTCCTCCCTGGAATTACGTTTAATCATGTATTTATCATCCAGACTTGCAAAGGCAAAAATCACCTAGACAAGCAGGCAAACACACAAACACTGAAAACACTTCCCATGTACACAGTTTTGTCCAGAGCTTTGCAAAGATTTGCTTTGTATGCAGGAGCCTGCTTTTCCAAGTTGCCTTTGCATATTTTAAACTTCCGAACTGGAACTATCCAAGGATATAACCTGCATAGGGCTGCTTTTCGCCTCTTGATGGACAGCCAGGAGTGAAGGATGATGTGGGTTACTGCAACTGCCATTTTGTGGAGGAGGTCCCATAAGGCCTTTGTAAAGATGGAGAGGCAGGTAGGAATGGAAAGAGAGAGGAGACATAACGGTAGACCTAAAAGGAAAACGACTTTCCTTATGTCAGTAGAGACCCTGGGCCTCCCTATGTTTTAAATTTCTTAGACTTCTAGATCTGGGGAGAGTCTCTGTTCCAAAGTCATTCCATGGGAGCTTATGGGAGATTTTTACCTCGGCCTCTTTCGCTTTTTACAGTCTTCTACAGAGAAAAGAGTGGTTGTAGCTTTATCTTGTGCACAGCCAAACATCACAGGCATTTACTTACCTTGACCAAAGAAGGTAACTCAAACCTAAAGGCAAGGAAGGCTGGATATGATAGGCTTCATTTCACAGATGAACAGGCTGCAAACAAGGACATAATTTGTTCTGTGTTCCACATTAGCAAAACCTAAACTAGTCTTCCAGCCCATTGCTATTTGAGCTAGACTCATCAATCTCATGGTCATTTGGGAAATGGCTATAAATGAACCTTCCAGAACACAAAGATCTGAAGACTCTTTCACCTGAGGAGGTGAGAAGCAACCATATGTAACTAGAATGCATAGATACTTCAACCTTATTTGAATACTCATTATAACATTCAGTCCCACTAAAGCTTTCAACTAGCATTACTCAATAGGAATTGAGTGGCCTGGCAGGATGGTAGAATGGAATTAACATAGATCTGAGAGCCAGGAGAACTGTCTGTCTACAGATGAGGAACAGTGAAGGAAGGTGCAAAAGTCACTGAATGAACAACGGACATGAATGAGGAGGACATATAGACACAAAGAGGCCAGAAATAAATTAAAGGGAGAAATAGTGCTCTGAAGTTACTCTCAATAAAAAGCAGTCTGGCATTTAAACCTGGGACTAAAGGACTCCAAAGTTTATGTTGCTTCCACAGCACCAGCATTGTCTTCACAGTTCCCACATCTGAAAAGTGTTGCCAATGTGAGTTACTCTCAGAAGGCTAATGCATCATTTAAAAGAAATAATGTGTATAGAATAAGTTTGTAAACAGGAAAGCATTCTACAAATCTGAAGGATTGCTGTGATACTTTAGACGATGTTGTCACAATTACATAATTATCAGGAAAGGTTATTAAGGCCATTAGCTTTATTTAGATTTTGAACTCTGATCTTCCACCTCAAATCTCATTTTCTTCCCATTGCTTTCAAGAACAAGAGACAGCTATTTAATAATATTATATAAATTCACTGTTTGTACCGGCTTTCTTCTTCTTTCTCCTCTTGTTCTTCTTTGCATTTTTTTTTTTTTTTTTTAGTAATCAAACAGAACCAGAGGTGTTCTCTCAGATTAATCAGGTTGAGAGTAAGTCTCTGCTATAAGCTTCCTCTGCAACTTCAAGAGGGCTTTATTAATGACGTCTTTCTTAGCTCTTTGCTCTTGAAAGCCAGGACGAGCTGACCTTTGGCAAATGGTGAATGCTGGATTTTATTTCTCAAGTATCTCACACATTTGTCCACTTATTTCATCTCTGCTGTTGTCGTCCTAGTTCACTCCCAGAAGGCACCATTCTTTTCCAGCTGGAGGGCTGCAAATGGTTTCCTTCCTTCCACTCATACTTTCCTAGAATCAGTTCTGCATTGTGCAGCCAGAGGGTATTTTTTTAATAGCCATACTGCAGTATAATTGATATATACAATAAACTGCACATATTTAACATTGCACAAATTGATCGTTTTTGACGCATGCATGTACTCACGAAACCATCACTCAATCAAGATAGTGAGCATATCTGTGATTCCAAAAGTTTGTATTGTGCCACTTTGTATATTTTTCCTCCACCTCTCCCATACTCCTTCTCAGGCAACCATTGATCTGCATTCTGTCAGTATAGACTGTTTTTCACTTTCCAGAGTTTTGTATCAATGGAACCATACAGCATGTACTCTTCTTTTTAATTTGCATCTTTCACTGAGCACAATGTCTTTGATATACATTTAAGGTATTATGTGTATCACTAGTTTATTCTTCTTTATTGCTAAGTAGTATTCTACTGCGTTGCTGTACTACATGTTGTTTATCCATTCATTTTTGATGGACTTTTGGGTTTTCAGTTTGGGGCTACTACAAATAAAGCTGCTATAGATATTTATATAAATGATTTTGTATGGACATATTCTTTCATTTCTCTCAGGTAAGTAGTTAGCCATGGAATGGGTGGGTCACAGGGTAGGTGTATTTCTTTTTTTTTTTTTTTTTCCCTTTTTTTTTTTTTTTTTTTTTAGGTTTTGGGGTACATGTGAAGAACATGCAAAATTGTTGCATAGGAACACACATGGCAGTGTGATTTGCTGCCTTCCTCCCCATCACCTACATCTGGCATTTCTCCCCCTGCTATCCCCCCCCAGCTCCCCACCCCCCACCGTCCCTCCCCTATGTCCCCCCAACTGACCCTAGTGTGTAGTGCTCCCCTCCCTTTGTCCATGTGCTCTCATCGTTCAACACCCGCCTATGAGTGAGAACATGCGGTGTTTGATCTTCTGCTCCTCTGTCAGTTTGCTGAGAATGATGGTTTCCAGGTTCATCCATGTCCCCACAAAGGACCCAAACTCATCGTTTTTGATGGCTGCATAATATTCCATGGTGTATATGTGCCACATTTTCCCTATCCAGTCTATCGTCGATGGGCATTTGGGTTGGTTCCAGGTCCTTGCTATTGTAAACAGTGCTGCAATGAACATTCGTGTACACGTGTCCTTATAGTAGAATGATTTGTAATCCTTTGGATATATACCCAGTAATGGGATTGCTGGGTCAAATGGAATTTCTATTTCTAGGTCCTTGAGGAATCGCCACACTGTCTTCCACAATGGTTGAACTAATTTACACTCCCACCAACAGTGTAAAAGTGTTCCTACTTCTCCACATCCTCTCCAGCATCTGCTGTCTCCAGATTTTTTAATGTTTGCCATTCTTACCGGCGTGAGATGGTATCTCAATGTAGTTTTGATTTGCATTTCTCTTATGACCAGTGATGATGAGCATTTTTTCATATGTTTGTTGGCCTCACGTATGTGTTCTTTTGTAAAGTGTCTGTTCATATCCTTTGCCCACTTTTGAATGGGCTTGTTAGTTTTTTTCTTGTAAATCTGCTTTAGTTCTTTGTAAATTTTGGATATCAGCCCTTTGTCAGATGGGTAAACTGCAAAAATTTTTTCCCAATCTGTTGGGTGCCGATTCACTCTAATGATTGTTTCTTTTGCTGTGCAGAAGCTGTGGAGTTTGATTAGGTCCCATTTGTCTATTTTGGCTTTTGTTGTCAATGCTTTTGGTGTTTTGGTCATGAAGTCCTTGCCTACACCTACGTCCTGAATGGTTTTGCCTAGATTTTCTTCTAGGGTTTTTATGGTGTTAGGAGGTGGATCCAAGATGGCCGTTTAGGAACAGCTCAGGATTGCAGCTCCCAGTGAAAGCGCAGAGGGTAGGTGTATTTCTACATTTTTAAGAAACTGCCAAATCATCTTCCTAAGTGACTGTACCATGTTGCATTTCCACCTTAGCAACAGTTGGTATGGTCAGTCTTTTCAATTTTAGTATTCTAATTAGAGGTCTCTTTCCCATTTAATTTTCATGGTTCCAATGAATAATGATGTAGAACGTTTTTCATGTGCTTATTTTACAATTGTTTAATTTCTTGTTTGTTTTTTGTTTTTTGGGTTTTTTTTTTTGGCAGAGTTTCACCATGTTGGCCAGGCTAGTCCTGACCTCATGATCTGCCCACCTTGGACTCCCAAAGTGCTGGGATTACAGGTGTGAGCCACTGCGCCTGGACTTTTTTTTTTTTTTTTCTTTTTTAGAGACAGGGATGAAGAATGAAAATCTTTTCTCTCTCTTTTTTTTAATTGGGCTACTTGTAATTTACTATGGGGGTTTTAGAGTTATATATTCTGAACGCAATTCCTTTATCAGAAATATGATTTAACAATATCTTATCTGTAGTTTGTCTTCATTATCATACCAGTGTCTTTTGAAGCACAAACATTTTAAATTCTGATGAAGTCCAGTTCATCACTTTGTTCACTTATGAATTAT